ACACCAAAAAAAAAAAAAAAAAACAAAACAAAAAAAACCAAAAAAAAAAACCAAATACAAAGCCTCCAGATTGGAAAGAAAAAAGTAAAGCTATCTCTGTGTACTCATGACACACTTTTGTATATAGAAAAATCACAGAGTCATACAAAACAAAGCAATGAACAATCCACAGATGATATGCAGAAAACAATTTCATTTATAATAACACCACAAAGAACAAAAATATTTAGGAATAAATTAAACAAAGAAAGCATAAGAGCTGTACACTGAAAACTAAAACATTGCTGAAAGAAATTTAAGACCTAAATAAATGGAAAGACAGCCAGGTTCATGGATTGTGAGGCTTAGTATTTTTAAGATGGCAATACTTCTCAAATAGATCTATAAATTCAATACAATCCCTACTAAAATCTCAGTTGTCTTTTCTGGCAGAAAACTGACAAGCTGATCCTTAAGTTTACATGGGAAAGCAAGGAACTCAGAATAGTCAAAACAATCTTGAAAAAGAACAAATTGAAGGACTCTCACTTCTCAATTTCAAAGCTTACTACAAAGCTACAATAATCAAAACAATGTGGTACTGGCATGACGATAGACATATCTATCAGTGGAACACAACTGACAGCCCAGAAAATAAGCCTTCACATTGATAGTCAATCGGTTTTTTACAAAAGTGCCAAGACAATTCAATGGAGAAAGAATAAGTCTTTTCAACAAACGGTGCTGAGAGAACTGGATATCAACACGTGAAACAACGAAGTCAGACTCCTACTTCATGCTATATGTAAAAATTAACTCAAGATGGAACACAGGTCTACACATAAGAGCTAAAACTATAAAACAGAGGAAAACACTGGAATAAATCTTTGTGACCTTGGATTAGGCAATGCTTTAAAAAAAATTTTTTTTAATGCTTTTATTTATTTTTGAGACAGAGAGAGACAGAGCATGAGTAGGGGAGGGGCAGAGAGAAGGGGAGACAGAATCTGAAGCGGGGTCCAGGCTCTGAACTGGCAGCACAGAGCTCGACGTGGGGCCTGAACTCACGGACCGTGAGATCATGACCTGAGCTGAAGTCAGACGCTT